ATCAAAAGAAAAAAACACACAGCCATTTTAAAAAACACAGTTTTAGGCAACATACAAAATCTTTAGAATTTGAAGATAAATGTGTTCTTATGTCATTTATTTCATGATGAAAATTTGGCTCTCCTCATAAAGGTGAAACATTTTATAGAAAGTTTCACTCAGGAAGGAGCAGCATCACAATGTGTCAATAAACTGTCTATTGTAGGCAGTGTAACCTAGTAGTTGAAAGGCAGCCTCAGGAGGCCTAACTTTGGATATCAGCTCTGCCACTTACTAGCAGTATGATTATGGGCAAGTTACTTAACCTCTCTGCTTCAGTTACTTCATCTATAAAATGGTAATAATGATACCTTATGGGACTATTAGGAAGAATAAATGATTTTGTAGCAAAAAAAAAGGAAAGGTGCTCAGATCACTGCTTGGCACGCAGCAGAAGGTCAATAAATATAATTTAAGAATAAACTTACTTCTTTCCTACTGAATAATTTGTTTTTAAATTTTTATTACATACCAAAAATGACTGAATGTATACTTTAAGTGGGTAAATTTTATGGTAGGTAAATTATATCTCAATAAAGCTGTTTTTAAAAAGGTTATACAAAGATTTGATGAATTTGAGTATTCATGACAGTCAGAATTATCTATTTTCACAATAGCCCCAAATTCTTACCAGGACTCTATGACCTAGGCTCAGGGAGGACAGGCACCTTTGTGGTCAGAAGAGAACAGAACATCAGGTCTAGTGGGAAAGGCAGTACAGGCATAGCAGGCAGAATGTCTGCCCAGTTCATATTTTCCAGGTAGACTGCCTGTAGAGTTCTAACACCCAAATTTAAAAGTATGTAAGTACCACTTTTTAAATTTTTTTTAAAACTTATCTTTACTGATTTCAGACAGAGATAGATAGAAACATCAATCATGAGAGAGTCATTGATCGCCTGCCTCCTGCACCCCCCTGGCTGGGGATCAAGCCCGCAACCCGGACGCATGTGCCCTGACTGGGAATCGAAGCCCAATTGCCTGGATCCTAGGTCGATGCTCAACCACTGAGCCATGCCCGGCTGGGCCATATAAGTACCTCTTGATATGTTTTTTGGCAGATGTTTTTTAAAGGAACAATTTATATTTACAACCCAATGTCTCAATATAGTATTTTTTTTAAATGATGTGAAGGAAAAGCACTGAGTTACATCCCAAACACAACTTAGCAAGACGTCAGAATCACAGTAGATATTTTAAAAGCACTTATGTCAACAAAGGGGATGTGAATCTTAAATGGGGCAAATAAAGCAACTAATTAAGAATCATACTTATTGTTTGGTAATCAGGAAATAATATTTTAGGTATTTCATCCTAATATACAAACTACAATGTAACTTTTAAATAAGAATTTTACTGTGTTTTAGTTGTCTTTAGAGATATTATGTATTTGAGAATAACCTTCCACACACCATTAAAAAAAAACTGCATTTCTAAACTCAAATATAACCAAGTCTGGATTTCCTCAATTACGCAGAGCAAAGAAAATACTATGCCTTGTCAAAGCACTCATCACTCTTCTCTAATATCTTATTCTGCTATTCTCTGGTTACATGAAAATAGCTTTTGAAATAAGACTGACTACTGCACAAGAAAGAGATGCTATTATTTCTTGGAAGATGAGGTTCAGGTTTTTCTAAGTTCTACATACCACAAAGAGGACAGCAATCAACCATCATAGCAACCAAGAGGTTTAGGAAAATGATGCTTTTAAAGGAACAACGTATATTTAAATCCCAAAATCTCAATACAGTATGCGATGTTAGGAAAAAGAAAATGATCAGATATGAACACTATGTACAAGAATAGTCATTTCACACTTAACAGGGAAAAACAGTCTGTAAAACAATAGGTAAATAGGTAAATAAAATACAGTTTAGCCATATGTGAGGATATCATGTCCTTACAATAATGTTCAGAGTCATATTTAATGGCATGGGAAGTGTTCCTGCTACATAGTGTTAAGTGAAGAGAGCAGAATACTTCACATACAGTTTTTGTTTCCATTTCATGATGAACAAGTAGATTTGCAGTGACTGCCTCTGGCTGTTGAAATTATGGGTAACATTTCTTTAAATATTTACATATTTTCCCCATTTCAACAGTGAGTTTCCACTTGCAATTACATGGAGAGGAAAGGTTGTAAAAATATTTAGGGAAACATTTCTATTCTGCCAACCTTATCCTAACCAAACTCTCCTAAGGAAAACTGTAAGAACCAATATACATCTACAGAAATAATGAGCCCAAATCTTTTACTGTTCAATTAAAATTTAAGATCACTTTGAAGGCAGAATTCTAGAGGTAAGACTCTCACAGAACAATCACTTGCTACAATAAGCTCAATTCTGTTTTTTTGTGTGTGAAATATCAACTAAAAAGGTTAAAATAAGGTATAATCAACATAAAATTGATATTTAATTATTTTAAAATAGGGCTTCTATTAGTTAGCATCTAATTTGTTTAAAATTAAACAGAAAAATATGTATGTGACAAGCATTTGTGATGACCTTCCATGCAATTTGACAGTGTCCCCTTGATGCTTACAAGGATTGCCAGCCCTTATCTCTATCATCTATCTATCTATCTATCTATCTATCTATCTATCTATNTAGCCCTTATCTCTATCATCTATCTATCTATCTATCTATCTATCTATCATCTATCTATCTATCTATCTATCTATCTATCTATCTATCTATCTATCTATCTATCATCTATCTATCTATCATCTATCTATCATCTATCTATTTATTATATGCTAGTCTCTTTCTTAAACTCCCTTGAATGACCTCACTTAATGCCCTCTCACTGGCTGCTGTTAATACTCATGTATATCTCCTGCAACATGAACATGCATGACACTCCAGTCACCCTTCTATAAGCATCTGTGGGCAGGGCCAATGCCTTATTCATCTGTGTACCCCAACAGCTGGCACAATGCTTAACAGAAAATAAAGATCTGAAACACTACTGGGGGGGAAAAAGAGACTCGATGCCGGATACCACGCAAGGAATAGCAGCACACTATGCTAGTCTTGCTCCTTTCTCTATCCCATTGGCACTTCCATTACAGTTTATAATGCCTAAGCCTAATTACTCTTTACTCCTGTAAATCATGAAGCTTACTTTTCTCATGGCAAACTACTTGTTTTGCTTTATAGTTTTGTTGAAATCTTTTTTATTACCTCTATTATTCCTTCTCAAGGTGTAGTAAATGAAAAAAAAAATCTGTTCTAAAACCACCATCCTACAATACCATTTCCTTATTTTTCTATAGTGGTTCTCACTCTCTGCTCTCAAGAAAAAGGCACATACATATAGTGTGTGAAATATGCAAACATTTAAAAAAAATGTTTCAGGGGATTCACAGACGCTCCTCAGGCCCATTAAAGGGCTCCCAGGATAAGAACTCCTGGTTCACAGGTTCGGGCTCATTATTATATAAATGCTCATGTGGACTTTCACTTTGCACGCTTTAAACATCATTTTTAAGAGACAACACTTGCTGCCATAAAAATCAGACAGGGATAAGTTGTCTGATATAACTTTTACTTTGTAGCTTAGTAACTGCAAGGTACATTAAAAAATTTCAACACCTATGGGAGTACTTTTTACAGCCTAGTCCATGCACTAGGAACTGGGGATGCAATAACGAACACAACAGACACTGGTCCTGCCATCATGAAGGTCACAATGTACCCACAGGGCCGAGAGTCAAAGAATATCAATATGGGGTGACCGAAGAGTTCAGAGCTGGAGGCACGGAGAGCAATCAGAACTGATGCAATAAACTAGACAAGAGAAGATGACAGCTTAGGTTAAGATGGTGGCTGCTGGGCTGAAGAGTGGAAGACCAGAAAGATCCAGAAGCAAAATCAATAGGGCTTGGCTGTTAAGAGTCAAAGATGATGCTGAGGCTTGTGTTGGGCACACTGAGATGGGGGGACAGGAAGAGATGGTTTGGGTAGAAAGTAGATGAACACCCTTGTGGACTTGTCTTGCTTGTAAGATAAAAGGAGGCCCTATCTAGCAGACAGATGGATGCATGAGTCTAAACTTGAGAAATCCGTGCTGTAGATTGGGGGCTGGAAGATTGCCAGAAAAAAAATCATGGAAAAAAGGGTGTGGTTGAACAGGAAGAAGTGAGCCCAAGATAGAAACTTGAAGGATCAAGAAGTCTCAAAGAAGTAGAAGAAATCAGAGGAGCAAACTAGGAGAGGTGGTGTAGCAGAACGGACTCCTTTCCTGTTCAGGTGCCACTATAATCTATTTCCCTAAAGGAAGTTTCTCTGAGTTCTTTGAGCATCTGACAAATTGGAGGAGAGCTCTATAAACAAAATGTTTACAAACATTTTATAATATGATCTGTCTATAAATCAAAATCAATGTGTGCTTATAGTACACGTTAAAAACATTAAATATACTAAATATAAAGGAGTTGTGGGAATAGGTTAAGTGATATTAGATCATTGATGCTTTCATCACATAATACTGAATCTTTAAACCCATAATTAAGACAATGGAAACTTGAAGTAAAACTATCATCTTTATTCTAAAACATAACTTATCTTTGTATATGTATTATAATTTATAAAGTATTCTGACCACAATCTTATTTAATTCTTACATAAAAGCCATAGTGAAGGTTTAGAGGAATTTTTATACCCCTTTTGCTGACAAAGAAACAGACACTCAGAGAGGTAAAGACACTCCTTGCCTGAAACCACAATCCAGAAATTGGCAGAGTTCTGTCCACTATGCCATGATCCTCTTGTACAGTTCAGTAGCATATATAGAAAGAATTTATTATTCTATGAATGTCAAGTATAAATCTCAAACTCCTTGAACTATCTTACCTTTGCAACATTATACCATTATTTTTCACTAAGATGGTTATATAAAGATACTTTTTCAAGTGGGTGACTCTAGATCAGGAGTGTGGCAAACAGTTGACTCACCTAATCGGCTACGTCTAATCTCTTCTGGTGAGACGGGTCGCAGCTTTCTTTCTGCTTTGATTTCTTCTAGTATTCTCTCATGGAGGCTCTGTGGCCGTGGAGGAGTAGGTTTTAGCTTTCTGGCTGAGGCCTTGAAAAAGAAACATAATAGTTGGAGGCTTTGAGTAGTTGTCCTTAAAGAATTTTTACTGAAGTACATCCATATGGTATAGCATTATTAAATTATATTTTATTGACTGACACACTGCTTGGTAAAGGCTATTTTTAAGTCATTATCAAGATTCCTAAAGCAATAGGGAGAGTGCTGAATTTCACAGTGGTTTAGTTGTATGTGCTCAACTAATTTTAAAGAGACAATTTTGTTAAAGCTAAAACTATGTTCCCTATATGCAAGCATGACAGGCAATCAATTGAAATGTAAGCTATACTTTATATAATATGATTGTTGTTTTTGAAACTAATATTTTTAAGTCATCACAACCTTCTCACATTATTATTATCTTCATTCCATAGTTGAATAAAGGCTTCAGGAGGCTGATTAACTTGCTCAGAGACATATAGCTGCTAAATATTGGAGCTAGTGTGTAAATCCAGGTTTATTTGACTCCATGCTCTCTCTTCTCTACAATGACCTACATTCTTAAAATTATTTCTTAGATGGCCTCTTTCTCTTATTTTAAAAAGATTTATAAAAGGCATAATTAATTATGCTTTAAATGTATACAATCTAGGACAGAAATACCATTCCCTGAAGGTTAATGAATGTACACAGGTTTGAGAGGCTTTGGTGAGCACTGGCTATTAAGCCAAGGGGGAAAGAAGTGAGGAACAAAGGGAACACAAACCAACATTTACCCAGATTAAAATATTCTGATTCCATGGTCACTAGAAAGAACTCTGTTAACAGAGGAAGATAATTAATATAAAAGTATATGTACAGCAGGGTGAATTTACTGCAAAATAGTATCAAAATGACCATATAATCAAGGAGGTTATTAGCACTATCAGGTAACTGGAAGGGCAGGCAATCCACACCAGGAGCAATTTGGTATTGTATTTTGCAGTTATTCTAGGAAGTTTTGTCCAGATATTGCACCATAATCCAGGTTGTTTTGATTTAAAACATCCTAAGATAGCCTTGTATTAAACAAATGTTAAGTATTTTCCTGTGACTTAAATGTAATCTACAGATGGAAGTCACCATTCTGAGAATAAAAGCTCAATGTAAAAACTAACCACTTTAAGAGCTGAATGCTAGAGATCACACACCACAGGGGAATAATTCATTCTGTGAACTCTGATCAATAGGAACATGTCGAATTACATACTGGGTTTAAAGGAGGTCTTGATCTGATGAAGTCAAGAATGATTTCATGAGCACTTTTTTTTAACCGAGGAGGAATATCACCATTCACCTGAAAAAATACAAAGAGTAGAAGATTCATCTGATTATAGCAGCGATTTTCAACCTGTGTGGGCAAGAATTTTTAAAACATGCGATACCTGACTATTTAGTCAGGGGCACTGACCTCTTTTCCCTTAAATTGTCAAGAAAGAAAGAAAAAGGCAATAGCCAACACAACAATAGCCATCTGGCATGAATGCCCTGTCTTGAACCATAAATATATAGGTCACATAAAAGTTGCATCTTATTGGTCATGTTGCATAATAAGGTTGCGTCTGAATGGTTAGTTCTTGGTACTAGAAATCCTTATATACAAAAGTATAGGTACCTGACTTTTTAATAAGTCACTTTGGAGAAAAAAGGGTAGGTAATTACTATTATTATTATTTTTTGTAAATCAATCAAAATTAAACCATTTTTGTTAGATCAGCAAAAAATATACTTTTTAGTATGCAGCAGAATTTTAATAATTAGTTTATTATGTGCCATAAAATAAAAAGATTGAAAACTGCTGGATTATACAACTGTCATTATAAGTTTCTAGGTACAGCTGTTATCTCAACATATGTCACAAAGTTACTAAAGTTATCTGTAATGTAGTTATATCCAGGACGCATTCCAAATAATTAAAATGGAGAGTAAATGGCTGTGTGACTTACAAAAATAATTACTGTAAAACTGAAGAAAATTCAGGCTCACTTTAGTTCTATTCTTTTGGAAAATTATATATAAGATATATCCTTTCCAACAAAAAGTTTCTAAAATTATAAATGTGAGTGGAATGAATAATACTATGTTTATTAATTATTTTATAATTTAAAAAGCCTTTTACCTCTTATTTTCATCCTTGTACAAAACCTAGGTAATAGGGAGGACTGGTAGCCTGATTCACAGTCTGTAGATAAAACTCAGGCTCAGAGCAAAAAGGGTTTCTCCTACCCTCATAGAACCAGCAGGCAGAAGAGTTTTGTGGAGCCCAGGTCTGTCTGTGATTCCTGTCCTTATGTCCTCCCTTTTTAAAGCAATGTGTTACCCCAAAAATTTTTTTAAAGAAGTTCAAGAAAACCCCAGAAACTCACAAAAATGTAACAACCTAATCCCTCATTCTGGCCACTCAGAAGGCACAGTTGTGACCATTTTGTCATATTTATTTCCTAGTCTCATATAAAAAACTCTGTAACACTTTTTCCCTCTACTTTGGTGACTTACTCTTTGATTACCTCATCACATTCTAATAATTTTATTGGAGAAAAGAAAATGATAATTTGGTTATTCCTCTAGCATTAGTGGTTGCTTTGATCTATTTTGATAGGTTAGATATGTTTCTTTATGCTTCACAATTTATTAAAAATGTCATGTAAAATTTTAGAATTGTTATACAATTTGATAAAACTTTTTCAAGTATTATTATTTTTTAAATATATATTTTTTATTTTTATTTTTTTAAAAACATATCTTTTTATTGATTTCAGAGAGAGGAAAGGAGAGATAGAAACATCAATGATGAGAGAGTCACTGATCGGCTGCCTCCTGCACGCCCCCAACTGGGGATTGAGCCCGCAACCCGGGCATGTGCCCTGACCAGGAATCGAACCCCGATCGCCTGGATCCTAGGTCGACGCTCAACCACTGAGCCACGCCTGGCCAGGCACATAAGACATTTTTAAAAAATCTTTATTGTATGAAACAATTAAACAGACTTTTCTATTACTTTATATTCTACTCCTGGAAAGACAGTACATATCCTTCCCACTGTTTTTCATATGCTTTTACTTTAATGTTCTTCCACCAAAACAGAGGTTAAGAGAATGGACTAAATAAGGTCAAGGTTCTACATTCCATCCCCAAATAAGCACATTAACTTCAGTTTTTTCACTAGTCAGAAACTGTATCCTGAATCCCAATTACCAAATGTGCGTCAGTGCTCATGAAGGAGATGGCACGACAGTATGGATGTGAGTCAGTGAAAGTCCTTACAAGTGGGAGGAAAAATAACTTTGTGCAAATACCATTCTACTGCTGGGTCAGTGAAATTACATACTCTCATATAAATACGGAACACAACTTGAAACAAGCTCTCTGAGCTGCAATGTCAGAATGCCACTGAAAACTAGGCTCTGCCTTATAACTGTCTGAACTTATAACTAGCTGAGCATCTCTAAACTTCAGTTCCCTTATCTGTAAAGTAAACAGATATACTCAAAAGTAAATCAACATGATGTTTAGCTTAAATATTATAGAATATTAAAATTAATTAAGCAGCTCAAACAGCTACTTAAATCTATTTGTTGTAAAACAAAATGTGTTTCATAAGAATCTTCTACATAAAATAACTGAATTTTCTCAAAAATACGAATATAATTCATTAATTCATTAATTCATTCAACAGTTATCTGGCTATGTGTTAGGCACATGCTCTAGTCACAGAGGATATAAGAGTGAAAGAATGAATTTTCCTATATTTGTAAGGGAGACAGACAGTAAATCTGATAATACATGACAATGTGAGCTTCTGAAACACACAAGCAATGACTTTTCTAATGGGGAGACATTTGGGCAGAAACCTGAAAAGTGAAGAGGCAAATAATGTAGATGTGTGGGGAAAGGGAGCTCCAGGAGAGAGAACAGGAAAGGCTCAGCTGTAGGAGCATATGCGGCACTTTTAAGGCAGTGGCAGAGACCACTGTGGCTAAAGAGGAGAAATCAACCAGGAAGGGTGGTAAAACATGAGGTATAAGAAGTAGCCTGGACCAGGCTTTGTGGGGCTTGCAGTCCAAGGTAAGCACATGGAGTTTATTCTGTGTGATGAAGAGCAGTGGAAGGTTCTGAGCAGGGCAATAATGTAATCACATTTCACTTTTAGGAGGTTTACTCTAGCTGTTTTGGGGAAAAATAAGACTTAAAAGGGGCAAGAGTGAAAGCAGGAAGACAACTTAGAGGCCACAGTAATAGTCCTAGTGATAGACGGTGGTGGTTTGGTATAGAGGGGCATCTGAAGCATAGGCGGCGAGAAGTAGTAAGATTCAGGACGTATTTCAAAGGCAGAGCTATCAGGATTCTACTGCTAAGAACTTAACTCAAGGATTTAATTGTAGCTATTCAAAAAGGTGTATATATAAGGTCACACAAAATAGGATGCTGATAGCTGGATACAAGTTGATTAGTTTAATAAACTCTGGTATAACCATAAGCTGGAAAAGATGTAGTCATTTAGAAATGACGTTGAATATATAATGACATGAGAAAATGTTCATAATATGTTAAGTGAAATTAACAGGTTATAAAACAAAGCTCCAATATTAATCCATATTGCCCAAACAAAATGTATAAAAAAAAGTTGAAGGTTATACACCAGCATGTTAGCAAAATTTCTCTCTGGGTTGCAGAATTACACATTTGTAACTTTCTTCTATAAGCATTTGTATTTTCCAAATGTTCTATAATGACCATGTATTACTTTTATGAGAAAAAAATAATTTTTAAGAAGAACCATTTGAATTCATTAACAATTTTCTTTGTTACTTACCATCACTTTTCGCAAAGTGTATCTTTTGGATCGAATGTCATCCATTAGCATCTCATAAGGGGTGAGTTGATATTCAATGGGCAAAGGGTTGTATTGCCGCTCTTGGACCTTTTTAAGTTTTACTCCATTCCGCAAATCCCTCATCACCTGTACCCAGAATCGAGCCTGAAAGTACCAATGGTGGAGAGACATCAATGAATGAATTTACTAGTTTCCTATAAGTAGCTACAGTCATACAGAAGAAATGAAGAGCTTGGATTACAAAACACTGAAAAAAAAACAAACAAAAAGATTTTTAAAAATGAAATTTTAGGATACTAAAAGTGGGCAGAAAGCCAGTAGAGAATCCACAAGCTATAACTGCTGAGACACCTGGGTATACATCCTGATTAATCCACTGTGGTAGGCATTAATGGTCTCAGCTCTGCAGGCCTCCTTGTTCATACACTGTTATGTAGCTTTGCTCACTAAAGCAGACGACTATATTTCTCATACCCTGACTTTGGGTTTGGCTATATGATCTGCTTGGCCACTGCAACAGTAATGGATATGACATGACCAAAGGCTTCAAAAGCCAGTGCACAATGGGCTGTCATTCATACGTCTATTATCACCACGAGGACATCATGCCTGGATTGGCACGATGCCTACTGGCATGATCACTAGGAGAAGGCAAGAGACACACATGAAGTGAATCTGCAACTGATCTGCAATCTCATAAGCTATATAAATGTTACTGACTAATGCTACAGTGATTTTTGTAGTGTTCGGTTACATAGCATTATAGTGACCATAGCAAACTGATACAACCACCTACTAGCTGTCTGACATACAGCTAGTTCTTTCACCTTTCCAAACCCTGGCTTCCTTATCACTAAAAGAAAATGGTACTTCAAAACTTGTTGAGAAGATGAGAGGTGTTCTCTACATAGAAAATGTGTTCTGTATGTAGAAAATGCTCATAAATGACAATTTTTATGTTATCTTTGCACAAATTATTTAATATTAGTTTTCTTATCTACAAATAGCAAGTTGGCTTGTCTACCCTTCAAGAGAATGAAATATATATGAAGTACTTATAATAATATAAAACATATTAAATATGTATTATTATAACTCAACCCTTTTGTTTTCCTGCTTATAAGCTACAGTGTCATAGTCTCTACTTCACTGAAAAGAAAATCAATACAATATTTAACTGAAATATTATAGTTTGTTAAAATTAAAAAATAGCTCAAATATATTTTAAAATCAAGTGGTATATTTTATAAGAATTGTCTATATAAAATAACTCAGAAAATTTCTCAAAAATGTCCTCAAAAACAATTTGTGATAAAAAACAAAACAACAAAAAACCCCACCACACCAAAATGTATACCATTTCTTATTCCAAAAAGGATTTGAGGTACTTAATATTGAGTTATACTCATTAAACATCTTCTAAAATATTCATTTTTAAAACCAGATTCTTAGGTTCTGCCATTAAAAATACTCTAATATATCCCTAAACTACTTCACTCTCTCTCTTGGGAATGATCTTGTCCCAACTTCTCTGCTTTCCTTACTCATTTCTTTAAGATCCAGTTCAAGTACCATTTCCATCTCATCTTTTAAACATATTGTCTCTTTTCTTGACCTCCTCAGGCTTTAAGAAAATGTGACATGGAACTTCGAATTCTCAAAATAGATTAATTAGGGGATGATCACTCACTAGCTTTTGCTATAATTTAGGAAAGGATTAAAACAGACTTGTTTTATATAGCCAGTTCTTTATGTATTTTTGGCAAAAATTTTACATATGACATTTTAGAAATTAAAGTCATGGTTATTATACAAAATAATGCACAACTGTCACTGTATATATTACCAGAGATTTTATCATTTACCCCTTATTCCACTAGTAATATTCTGAGATGTTTAGATTCAGCCATTCAAGAAATTCTGATTCTCCTTCATTCTTTCCTCATTTCATTCTATTCTTTCTAGGTAACTCATTTTAATGGTCTTATCTGAGAATTAAGATGGTGATCTAGGCAAAAAGTCCCTTTGGAGTTAGTGCATCTCTTGTCAGCGATCACACTAGTTTTTAAATAAGGCTGCCATAAGGCAATAAATTAAATTTTTAGTTCAAGTTTATACCAGCTATTTGCTAACGTGTAAACACCTGGAGTTACTTATCTGGCTTTAATATCTAGGAAAACAAATTTTAAAATTTAATAGCCAAGATGAAATACACCTAGCACAAAACTACCTATATATTAGTCTCCTATACAAAGGGGGCTTGATAATCAGTATTATTCTAAAGTGACAAATAACATTAGCTTATAAGGCAATATAAACTACATGTTTTTTAACCTTACTCTTTCTTTAATGTTCCAGGTTAATATCATTCCAAATATCTCAGTAAAGATATCCTCAATAAATTAAGATTATTGCAAACAGGCAACACCCAAATGACCATCAACAGAAGAATGGATAAACAATGGGATACTACTTGGCAATAAAACCCCCAAAAAACCTGCTGCCCTGGCTCGGTGGTTAGAGCATGGGCCCCATGCACCAAAGGTCCATGGGTTAGATTCCCAGTCAAGGGCACGTACCTGGGTTGCAGGTTTGATCCCTGGCCATGGTCTCTCTCACATCGATCTTTCTCTCTCTCTCTTTCTCTTTTTCTCTCTCTCTCCCCCTCTCCCTCACTTCCTTCCACTCTAAAAAAAAACCAATGGAAAAATATCCTTGGGTAAGAGTTAACAAAAACAAACAAAAACCTACTGATATAGGCAACAACGTGGGTGAAATCTTAAAAGAATTATTGTGAATAAAAGAAGCCAAGCAAAACCCAGTACATACTATTAGATTATTTATACAAAATTCCAGAAAATGGAAACTAATCTACAGTGACAGCACATCACTGGTTGCTTGGAATCTGGGAAGGGGGGAGGCAGAGAGTAGGGTTAAAAAGGGCTATGAGAAAACTGTAAGGCGAGATGGACAGGCTTATTATTTTGATTGTGGTGATGGTTCCAAGGGTATATATGTATACATGCATATGTCAAAATTTATCAAATTGTAATTTTTAAGCATGTGCAGCTTATTATATGTTGATTACACCTTAATAAAACTATTGGAAAAGAATATGGCAAACAATTAAAATCTAATATGGTCAAAAGCAAGTCGTTTATATCCCCCAAACCTGCATCTTTCCCTATTCCCTCATTTAATGATGTCATTACTTATGCAGTGTACTTAACCTGAAGAGTCAGAATCCTAAAATGTGCCTTCCCACTGACACCTGAACATACCTCAGTTTAACTGGGTGACATTCACTGTCCTGTCCCCAAGGCTGTCATGCCTGACTGTCTAAGTCATCTATTATGAGGGCAGGGATTCAGGGATCTAGTACCAGGCTGGAAAAACAGTAGACACTCAGTGTGTTACACAGATACACCACCATCATCTGTTCTATAAATCTGTCTTCTGTTTTATGAAGGCAGAGACCCCATATTATTCTTTTGGGCTCTAGTCAGGTAACTATTCATTAAATAATTGAATATACTACACTATAGTTTCATACCTTATCCTGAAACAGAGCCTAAACTTTGACTTACATACAAGATTATGCTAAAGTATTAATATAATCAGGAAGGTCAATATTTTAAAACACCAAAATTCCCAAAGACACTGGGGTGATTCTAATAAAATCAGATAGTTTTAAAAAATGCGAGATATTTCCTCAAAGGAAAGATTAGGCATTGAGATGCATGTAATATCCATTCATAGTAACAAGCAGCTATTTCTTCAACACTAAAAAGAACAGGGAGAACATCCAGCTATCTTACCCAATCAGCGTTTTTCAGCTCCTCTAAATCTGTGTTAGATTCATCGCTTTTTTCCATTTCTTGAATCTTCTTAAGATTCTACCAGTTGAAATAAAAATATTTGGCATAAAAATTTCATTAAGCTACCTTTTCAAATTAAAATTTCTACAGGACACCTTCAGATAAAATACAAACAAAAGCGTTATTCAAGCAGATAGTACAGGTAACAGGCTAACAGAATCACCAGTTCTTCAGGGAAACCTTCCCTTCCTCCTTGACTAAGCCAAATTTTCCTGCTATACAATTTTGCAGCACTATAAACCTTTCCTCTAGAATTCTTATCAACACAAATTTTACATTTGTTTGTGCCTTCCCTCTAGACCTCATGACTCAGATTTCTGTTCTCAGAAGCTAACATAAGCATCGATACTTTTTGATGCTCAATATATTTGTCAAATAATTTAATAAATAAATTTCAATATATAAAATGTCTTTTATTTATTTTTAATTTGACATGTATATATTGCAAAATGGTTATCACAATAAGGTTAGTTCCACTTTTATCACCTCACATAATTATCTGTTTTTAAATGGTAAGAGATTTTAGATCCACTCTCTTCACAACTTTCAAGTATATAATATTGTTAACTATAGTCACCATGTTGTACATGAGATCCCCAGAACTTATTTATCTTATAATTGGAAGTTGTACCCTTTGAAATTGCATTAATTCAACATTTGCAATTAAAAAAAACCTTGATAGGCAACAATGTATATTCACACATTAATTACAAATTTGTGTTATACCATTCCTACTCACAATAATTCAACTCTAATATATTTTGCTAAGTATATTTACCTATTTGCATCTGGACAGAGTTTAAATGCATTGTAGGAAACCTAGCTTGTTTTGTATGAAAATAATGAATACCAAATATGAAATATTTCTAAATCATTTATTTTTAGTTTTTCAACATCTCAGACTAATCATCTGTAAAATGAGAATAACACCATCTGCTTTTTTGTACTAAATAATGCCTAGGAGTATTAATACAGAAAAAATAAAATTACTCTAACTTGAAGAAAAGGTAGTATAAATAATGCATTATGTCCTCTTGCCCTGGAAAAGAAATTAGGAGGAAAAAAGTATATCTGACTGTTTCAGAATGTGTTTCCATAATTAATTTTAAAAAGAAAAGTTAGGTTTCCTGTTTGGGACTATGTAATAAGACACTTGCCACGCCTGAGTCATGGCCTTGTCTAAGTTCCCTCTTTGGGTCTTCTGTTCCCCACCTTTAAAAGGAAGATACCCCCATCTATCTCACATTTAGAGCCTCTGGGGAAAAGGAATTCCCAAAACATGCATATCCTAATTCTCCTCTGTACTGCCCCAGCCCCATTCCCTATTCCTCTTCCAGAGTCTTGCTCTTTTCCAATCGCCTTAACTGCTGCTCTTGGCTCCAGTAGGGTGCTAGGGCAGCAGCTAACAAGTGCTAAGCCTTTAGGCAACCATCATTTAACCCCAACCATAACCCATGTTACTGGGGAAATTGAAGTACATAAGGCTAAATGACATGCCTGGGGTTCCCTCAAAGGCGAGTGATGGAGTGGGAGTGGAGCAGGCGGAAGTGGCACAAGGGTCTCAGACATGAGGTAAGACGTGTGGAAGGGACACCAGACAATGAAAAGAGTGGTCCTGTTGGGAACATAAGTGTCCTGATGCTGCTCACAGTGACTTAGATAGTTCTTAGAAAACAGCTAAATAAAGTTCTATTTTATTTTTACTAAAATTAATGTGTATGAATTGATATATTACACACAAAGAATAGAATTTATAACTTGTAACTGTACTTTCTAGATAATGGGTGCTTAACATCTGCTATGTCAAAATCTCAGTAATAATCATTATTACAAAATTAGGACTCTTAGTTTTCTATTTTTAAAGATGTTCCAGATGTACTGGTATATACAGTATTTCTGATATTCAAAAACCCTAATTTTTTGCTAGGAATTATTAGTTATCTTTTAACAAATCTCTGAGGATTTAAAACCACAGTTTTCAACCCAAGTGCACACTCTTTAGAAGTATCGAAATTAGAATTGAGAGAGGAAAAGACCAAAAAAGGAGAGGCACACATGTTTACAGTTTTCCTCGAATGACTACAACCCAGGCTCCATAGCCCAAAGAATTAAAGAAATACATTATTCTATTGAGTAAAAGAGTCCTCCTTCTGTGTGTTTTTTTTTAAACAATTAAAATGGTGAAAGAAAAGGGGTTTAGGAGGTGAACCGTCTCTGGGCATCCTGGGACTCCATCAGGCTGTGACATCTATTAGCAGCAGCACTCTCCTCTCCCCAACCCTCCAAAATGAGAGCTGAGAATAAGTATCTCAGCTCTATTTCTTCACATTCTGTCCTTAGGGCATTTGCACTGGCTACTCCCTCTCCCTACAAAGCTTACCAAAATATCCACATAGCTTATTCCCACACATCCTTCTCATTCTTGATCAAATGTCACCTTCGCAATGTGTCCTACCCTGACCATCCTATATAAATGCCAAGCCCCACGCCCTGCCACCAGCAATGTCCCAGTCTACCTCTCTTTTCAAAGCTCGTCCTGCCCTGTAACAGTCTATATGACTTAATGTTTACTGCCCGCCTCTCCCTGCTAGACTGTAAACTACATGCAGAATTTTGGTGTAATAGTTCACTGATGGGCTCCTCAAATCTCCAGAGCAGTGCTCTGCACTTAGGAGGTGCTTAGTAAATATTTGTTAAATAAGTGAATTAAGGCACTTTCAAACAAGAATGTTCAAACACTTAAATCTATTCAATAGCTCTTATCAACTCAACTTTAATAAGAGGAAGCCCAATCAAGTGGAAAATTATTCAGAGAGAAATCTGTATTTTCCTTTCTAATTCAGAATCTCCTGGAGGGCTAGCGAAGAGAAATCTTATCTATGCTACACAGAAACATGTGCTCTCCAGTTTAGGGAAATAAATATGCAATCCAAGCTCACATTACATTTGTTTCCTTTGGTGTCAGTATAGATAATACCATAGAGAAAAATGAAGTAATTACAGTACTAAGTAGGTCAACAAGATTTACCCAGCATCAAAATAAAATGGTTTGAAACCTTAATGCCTGAGAATATCATGTATACAGGGTGTCCCCCCAAAATGTATACATCTGTGGTAAGATGCCCAGGTCTACTGTGCCGCCCCTCAGCCCCCAGCCTTGCAGGAATGAAGTGTCTTCCACTGGCTGCCAGAGGTATTGTCTGCTCACAGCCTGTTCCTTCCCCAGGAGGTGCAGTAAGCACTCAGAGCAGGAAGCTGCCTTGCCAAGGTTAGGCCCCTTTCTGGGCACCCTACATCTGATCACTGCTCTGTGTGAAAGTACATGGGACAGGCCCCCTTGCCTCAATTTCTGACATCTCCGAAGGGCCATCCCAGCTTCAGAGTTCCCTCAGGATCAGCTGAGGTTTGTTGCGCCTGCATCATAGTTCGACTTTTCCCTCATCCCCTTCCACTGTTCCCCAAAGCAACTCCCAATAAACTTCCTGAATTCAAATTTTACCCCTCAGACTCTATTTCAAGGGGGAACTTGATTCACACAGAACATTTAAAAAACATAACAGATGCAGACATATAAAACAACATTTACATGAATTTTAAAAGTAAAATTCACCAATTCAGACATTTTGACTTGCACTGAAATATATATAATTTCCACTGTTTCTGTCTAGAAACCCTTTCCCTCCCTTCCCTTGATAAAGATCCTCTCTGTAGGGAATGCATCCCCTACAGTTTGAGCAGAGCAGAGCCCATGCTTAGCACCTCGTCACCTACTCACAAGGATGAGGGTACCATCTCTCCAGTCACACTGACTGGGTCCTGAATGGGCACATAACTCCTTATCTTCCAAGACTTTTCTGCCCCAGTTAATAGAAAAGACTTTCTGCGGCAGTTACTGAACTGAGACCATATGAGATTTGGGCTGCAGACTAACATCTTACCTGCCTTTAACTACGAGCCTATCCTGGGGATGGAGAAATACTGGATTTGAGATACTGGATCCAGCTGTGCCTAAATCTAGCGGTACCCTTACACTTCCCAATTACGGGAGCCAATAAATCCTGCCCCCCTCCACCCATGCTAATTTGAGTGGACTGTCATTTGCAATGCAAACAGTTATGATTTAACATGTCCTCTTAGTCCAGAAATATGAGCTCATTCTTCTTGTCTTAGGGTACTCTGTTGGAATAATATGAGGAACATAGGGCTTCTTTTCCATCCAACTTTAATTTTTAAAAAATGTAGTCAAGATGGTTACACTGTTATGCCTTTACACATCTCTACCTTTACTTGTATTGTGATAAAATCCCTAACTCTCTGCTACTAAGAAAAACTACCTGTTCTTTATAATACAGAAGATAATTTCATCGAACAGTCCAAGAATTTCATGTTTCTTTATTTTTCTGAACAGTAGCGTAAATTGTAGCTGAGACACTTCCTAGCTGTGACTGTGAGAAAGTTATTCAACTGCTCTAATTCTCAGTTTGGTATTTTCATTTGTAACAAGCAGATAACAACTATATTTAGGATTTTGTTAATATTACATAAAATAATACAGAGGAAGTACAGCATGCAGCCTGGCTCATGTTAAGGATATAGTAGGTATTAACTTTGTAAGCCAATGAATATCTATGAGGATTTGATTGTGAACACTTTTACTCCAACACAAAAATGTGTTATTTTTACCAAATGAGGTACCTCTCTAGCTTCTTCATGAAATAAAATTCTGATTCAACAATAAATCAATATAATGTAGTTAAGAATCTGCAAATATTATAATTGAACAAGATAGAACAAATGTGCAACTAGAAATCTCATATTTTCTCATTAGTGGCAAAAACTAATGAGTTATTTTAAAGTAAATTACAGATTTTTCTAATTTTAGAAGTAAGCTTTTGTCGATTATATCCTAGCTTCTGAATAAGCATTTTTTGTTTGCACAAATGTAATAACAGATGCCAACCTGTGCTTGGAATATGGTGAGAAAGTTCTAACTGAGAGCACCCACATGGCAATTAACT